GAGAGAGAGAGAGAGAGAGAGAGAGAGAGAGAGAGAGAGAAGACTCTTGAGAGAGAGAGAGAGAAAGATCTTCTTCTTCTTCTTCTTCTTCTTCTTCTTCTTCTTCTTCCTCTTCTTCTTCTTCTATGTGCCCACCCCGCAGCGCAGCGCACCCGCGCGCTGGACAGCGGCCCCGCGCTGCCCAGCGGCCGCCGCACGGCCGTCGCCATCGCCGCGCGCGTCGTTTCCAAGCGCGCGGCCATTTTAGTGCCCGGCCGCGGCCAGGCACGGCCGAACGTGGCCGAACGCGGCCGAACGCGGCCGATCGAGGCCGATCACGGCCGAGTGCGGCCGGGCAGGGCTGCCCGCCTCCGTGGCGTCTGCTGGGCGGTCGACCGTGGTGCTGCTGTGGCGTGGGACCGCGCGACATCGCGGGGAGGCGGCAGCAGGAGCGGCGGGGACGTCGGGGTTTGGCGACATCGAGGGGACACTTCATCGACGGTGCGGCACGCTCGTATGACATCCAAGAACAAGGCCATGACTTGTTGGTTCCTGGTGGGGGGGCGATGACGGGGGCTGCAGGGAGCAGTGGTACGGGGGGGTTGGGGGTGCCCAATTCAACCCGCTGTCCGAGAAGGAGATGGCGAAGTTGAGGCGAGGGAACATTGTTTGGAACTTCGTCACCGTGGGCCAGTACGTCGGGGACCAGTCCAAGATGCACGGGGACCGAAAGTTGCGTTGCAACTTATGCGGCCACCTGCTTCAGGGGGGGTCGTCGAAGGTCGCGCGTCATTTCACGCAGTCGAAGTTCTTCAAGGCTGGGGGGATGAGAGTTCTCGCGAAATTTGGAACGGCACGGACTACACATTTGTGTCGTCCACTGCTCAGCGGGTGCAGAGGTGGATGGCAGACGAGGGCATACGAGACACGAGAGCGCCCGCGGGTGGCCAGAGACAGCGGATGGACGACGCAGAGAGGGACGACATTCAGGACGCCCTCGATGAGGAGGAGGGCCGCAAGGGTGGGGCCAGGGAGGGGGGGGTGGCAGACGAGGCAGACGAGGCAGTCAGAGAGCCTGATCTGCTAGGGGACGAGGTGGCGATGATGTCAAGAGGCGTTGGTCGAGCGGGTCCCGCTCCTAGGGCACCGCGACCTGAGTTGGACCGCGTGAGGAGGGAGAAGAGGACAGTGGGGCAGGCTGCCGTGGAGGTGCCAGACACGGGCAGGGAGAAGAGGGCTCGGCAGACCACGATTGACGAGATGTACGCCAGGGAGAAGTTGGCTGAGTTCACAGACGCATGGCTTCAGTGGATCTACATGAAGAAGTTGCCATTCAACGCCTTCCGTGGTCCGGAGTTCCAAAGGGTGCGACAGGCAGCAGAGAGAGTGCCTCGCTCTATCCAGTTCCGGTTTACCTCCTATAGGGTTACAGCGGGCGCCGGTATCCCTTCGCAGAGGGCGAAGGTGGCGACGATGGTGAGCAAGGTGCGCGCCACTTTCTGGCACAGCGGTGCCACCATCCTCTCCGACGGGAGGAAGTCACGCAGCGGCGAGCCGCTCGTGAACTTCCTCGTCGGGGGCGCCAATGGCGCCCTGCTATACGCCACTGTCGCACGTGACGGGTTGGTCCGAGACACAACGGACATCGTGTACCGTAGGTGGCGGGCCATCATCTTGTCCTTTCCTGCAAAGGACGTGATCGGCTTCTGCACAGACTCCGCCAGTAACTATACGGCGGCAGCGCGTAGGTTCACCACAGACCCCGAGCCTGACATCAGGAGGATTACTTAACTCCCCTGCTCCACCCATGTCTGCAAACTTGATGTTGTCAGATATCGGGATGCGAGTGGTGTGGGTCAAGGAGACCATCATCCGCGCTCGAGCGCTTGTGCGATTTATTAAATCGCACGGCGCTGCTCACACCCTGTTTAGGAAGGTGAGCCCTCGCGTTCAGCTCGTCGAGCGCGTTCAGACACGGTTTGCATCTCTTTTCCTGATGCTGACGTGTCTCAAAGGCCGACGAGACGCGTTGGAGAGCATGTTGCACGGGGATGCTTGGGCACGCATCCCGTGGGATCGCGCCCATGTATCTTAGGCGCAGTGGGTGCAGCAGCAGATCCGGGACGGGAAGTTTTGGCAGCGGGTCGAGTACACCATCCTAGTCATGTCGCCTGTCCACCAGCTGTTGCGCAGGATGGATAGAGGTGGGATGATGATGTCCGTCGTTTACGAGTGGAGTCATCATCTGCTGCAGTTGATGAGGAGGGTGGACGTGCCGGAGGACATGATCGAGCCGTGCGTGCGTGAGGTTGCCATCCGCAACCACCACATGCTAGAGCCCGCACATGCTGCGGCCCACCTCCTCAACCCTCGTGGACGGTCCCTCACGTATTACCATTCGCTGCAGACGACCGCCGAGGACCGTTGTGTGGTCGAGGAGTGCGACAGATTTCTCCTGGTGCAGACCGGCGGCGATCCGGTTGGCTTATTGTACAGGACCGTGAAGGACCAGATGAGGGCGTTCCACTCGAGGCGAGGGGATTGGGGAGATCGTGACCTCTCCGATGCCGAGGCGGCCGATTGCAGGGGGGACAGCGAGACCGAGCGATGTGCAGCGTGGTGGTTTGAGCATGGACGTGCCCACCCGGAGTTGCGCACCATTGCCATCCGTGTCATGCACTTGTGGACGTCTGCCTCTCCAGCGGAGAGGAACTGGGCTGAGCACGAGCGCGTCAGCACGGCGAGGCGCTGCACGCTTGGGTTTGCCAAGCTTGCACAGCTGGTTGAGATTGCCACCAATCTCAAACCAGCCTCGTGCACATGGCAGGGTGGTGGCTACGTGTTGCCATGGGTTATGGGGACCAGTCGGGGGGGGACGGCGGCAAAGGAGGAGGATGAGGAGGGAGATGTAGAGCCCGAGGTGTGGGGAGCGCGACCTGATGGCAGTGTTCTCGAGCAGGACATCCAGCGACAGATTGTCTCTTTCCGTGACAGCTGACCGTCCAGAGCCCGTTCGGTTCGGGACGCGTTCGGCAGCAGAGCGACAGAGCTGCGAGCGTGGCCGGAGGGTGGGGATGATGTGGATGCTGCTGCGGCGGACGACGACATCGATGACGACTGGATTGTCGATGATGACATGCCGCTGAGTTGCGACCCGACGGGTGAGCGAGTGTACTTCACTTACGGTGGGGGTCGTGACGGCATGGATTAATTCACATCAGTTATCACTGGTGATGTGCCGTCGACCGCGCCGGTGAGTGGCAGCAGTAGAGCCGGCGGTGGTCATGTAGGACGTTTGCATGTGGAGGTTCGCGAGGACGACGCGGGGGAGCAGCAGTCACGGGGAGGTCTTCGTCACACAGGCAGGCGTTGGGAGGTTAGGAGCGACAGCGAGGCCGAGGGGGAGGCCAAGGAGGAGGAGGTGCCCCTTCGCGATCGTCGCTTCTCTCCCTCCCATTATTCGATCTCTGCACAGCCCGAGGCACTTAGGCGTTCACAGAGGTTGGCATCGGCAGCAGGCAGAGACCGGACACATGATGGTGAGTATTGTGGGGGGGAGAGGACTCCTTCCCACGCCGGTATCCGCCCCCGCTCGCCGTCGGTGCTCCGCACACAGGACTTCGACGTCGTAGGGCGTGGTGGGAGCTTGGGAGATATCAGTGTCGAGGGACGTCGATGTGCCTCACCGCAGGAGGAGCGCACAAACGCGGACGTTGAGTCGGGCCCTGTTGAGACTGAGGAGGCGAGGGATGCCCGTTTGGACCGAGAGGAGGAGGAGCGGCTGAGGAGTTTGCCACAGTGGGAGGGTCGGTTCGCGTTTCTCGACGAGCAGCGTCGGCAGAGGGACTTGGAGACAGGAGGGGGGGGGAGTCGTGACGTCGACGACTCGGGTGTCCCTGAGGAGGCGGTTCAGGGGGAGTTCGATTATGAGGGGCAGGATGCCGCCGCAGGTGGTGGGTCATATGGTGGACGACGCGGCGACGAGGAGACCGCGGGTGTCCCTGAGGGGCAGGATGTTATCATGGGCCGTGGCGATAGCGAGACTGCGGGTGATGAGGGACAGGGTGCCGCAATGTGCGGCAGAGGAGAGGGTAGACCCGGTGGAGATGGGGATACCTCGGGTCTCGGTCGAGACGATGGACCGGACGACGACGATGACGACGACCACGGTCCCGAGGACGATCCGTATAGGCTCGCCTTGGTGCTGAGGGACCCCACAGTGCGTCCCCTGCGCCTCGACGACACAGCACACACTTTCACGGGAGACCGTTTCACACACGTGAGCCGCAAGAGCGGCAAGCAGCGGGCCCCTGGGAGGGTATATTCACCGCCGCCGTTCACAGTGTAGAGCCCTCACTGGTCGGGTTCGTCGCTCAGCGACGTTAGAGGGAGGGAGTTCGGTGCGGGTGAGGTGGGGTCCGGCAGACCCAGCGACGGCGGCAGAGATAGCGCAGGATCGATGCCTCCACCGCCCGCACGGACTCCGGAGGCCAAGTTCAACACCGGGAACCGGACGGTGGCACCCGGAGTTGCGGACAGTGGCGGTTCCCCGCTGCTAGTCCGAGGAGGTGTGGGTGGCAGATGGTCAGCTGTTCGTCGGGTCGGGGACCGGTTGCAGGCGGATTACGACGCAGGGAGGGGCGTCTTCACGGGACGTACGCCTGTTCAGGCGCAGGCTGCGGAGGGTGGGTCCGAACGTCCGAGCCTGCAGATGGCAGGCCGCATGCTTGGTTTGTCACGAACGGAGACGAGGATATCATTGGTCCTCGAGGCCCCAGGGACATTCAAGGACAGGCTGCGGGGAGAGCAGTTCACATCGGGCGATGAGGGGTTGTTGATGCGTCCCGAGACGAGACGACAGCATGGCCTCTCGGAGGTTGAGGCTCGACTCGCTGCAGGGATCGCCGCAGGGCAGGCAACATTGGACGCGATTCAGAGGGAGAGAGAGAGGGGGACTGCTGCACAGGCGGAGGAGGACAAGGATACAGACACTGAGTTAGAGCCGATCGAGACTGCGGTCCGCAGACACAGGGCACACGTGGCCGCGGCGGCCGCTGCAGCACATGCGGCATACGTTAGCGGGGCATGTGGCACAGGTGCCGGAGGGAGAGGAGGGCRCCGGGGAGGACCGCATGGCCGCCCGTCCGCCGAGAGAGGCCGCGCGCGCTCTGGTGGGAGATSACGACGTCCGTGGTGTTTTTTTTTTTTTTTCCATTAGTTTTTTTTTGTTTTTCGCGTGGCTGTACAGCCTGGACGCTCTGTCGGCAGGGTTGTTGCATATTTATGTCGATGTTGTTCCATTGAGACGACGACAGACTCGACAGTATGTGGACATTAGGGTTTTTTTTTTTTTTTTGCTACTCGGTTGTACAGTAGAGACGACGCCTGTCGACGGGTCCAGTTTTTTTTTGCTACTCTGTTGTGTAGCAGAGATGATGGTTCCAATTTGTTTTTGCTACTCGGTTGTACAGTAGAGACTACGGGTCCAGTTTTTGGTTTCAACCTTGTACATACGCATTTCCATTGAAATGCTTTGTCATATATGTGCTCTTGTTCTTGTTCCTCCGCCAACAATGGTCTTGCATCTGAGTCGCTGTTGTTTGGTGATTGTTTTCTGCTCTGTTGTCGTGATTGTTGCAAATTATGTGGTTCTCCGATGCCACGCACCTGCATGTCATGGATGCCTCTATTATGAATGTGATGTTAATTTCAGATGCGACATAGAGATGATGTGCTAGTGATAGCAATGAATGTGTTCTTACATAAATGATGTGCTAATGAATGTCCATCAGTCTCACGAGTGAACACACACTATGACACACTTGCCTGTTATCATTGTTTGAAACTTATGGTTCGCCGCACTGTGATTGATTTTCAATGTGTTTTGACATTGGTATGCCAAGCAGGGTTTGACTTATGATCGCCCTGAATGTGTTGTTTTAAAATATGTCACGAAATGTCATCGCCCTCACGAATGAAACCGACACCTTCCTTTTAATGCGTGAGGCCCTGATCCGCATGGGGTCTGCCATCTGCAACCCCATCTACCTTCGACCCGACCTGGCCGCGCGGGCCGCCCCAACGAGGCCCTCATCCAGCCCACGTTGGGCCACCCCCGCAGGGGTCAAATATTTTTTTTAATATTTTTCTACTGTTCTGGACCCTCTTCCCTGCGACCCCGCATCGACGAACCCGCGCACGGGGGACGCAGGAATTTTCGGGGCACACCCTTCCAGAGCCATGCGTAGGACCCCCCCGTTTTTTAATTTTTTGACGCCCTGTTACTTTGAGGGTGTGCCCCCCCCCCCCCCCCCCCCAAATCTGTTCCCCGCTTCAAACCCCCCCCCCCCAGATTAGCCGAGACCGAGGCCGAAAAAACTCGCCCGGGCCGGCCGCGGCCGGGGGGGTCCCGGCCTGGGCCGCCGGCCTCGGCCTAGGTCGAAATCGGTCGCGGCCAACGTGCAACATAGCTTGCATCACCTTTCGGTCGCAAGGGGGTGGTTATCTTCTTGAAGGCTGGGGACGACTGTACGAGCTGTTTGACATGTCTATTGTAGTTTTTGATGGACAGACATCCCTTCTCAGACATCTAAAAACCAAAATATTTACAGGTGGGGAGTTCCAATGCCGACTGATCCGCAGAATAGCCAATATGAGCGCTCTCAGGAAGTGTGCTTTGCTATCTTTGATGCACGTTCCAGGTACTAGGAGGCTTTAATTTAAATGTGAATATGGAGCATTGATTAAATTGGTCAACTTTATTCCTAGTTTTAAATCCCAATACACACAGTATATTCTACGTGGAATAGTTGGGAGTATTTTGAATAAAAAAGTGGGTTTTCGTTGTACCGCTCCTGTTATTATAAAAATTAAATATTGTCCTGCTATCAGCAAGAGCAAAGTAACTGATGTTTTGAACAAGATTGTTCGAAAAAAGATTAACATTGCCTCTTTGGCCGATTTTATCGTATCTAGAGTTGGGATAGTTTGGACCAAGAATCCGAACATAGGACAACTGCTATATAACCATCGAAACTTGTCCAGGATTGCCTTTGAAACATGCTCCTGCGCGGATGCATGCTCAACCTTGCCAAGGAACAGCGAAGGGCACATCGCCTTCCAGTTCTCTGAGCTCTCTTCCCATCCCAATGCCCTGACTAAGTCACGTAATATCCCCCCACCCTCTGCTCCCACTTAATTCTCCATGCTGAAATCTGCTATCCTAACTGGAGTCTCAAAAATCCTAGGCCCCTCCTTCTGTAGATCTACTGACATTAGGGGCTGTTTTCGGACCATCCTCCCTTTTTGCCCAGAACCCATTGATGTCATACACGAATGGAAGAAGAAACTGAACCGCCTTGTGATCTGTCTTATAGATCACAATCCGGGTGACTCATTTGCATGTTGCATGGAGACTTGCAACGCCGCACTTAGAGAATTATACTGGGAAAATAAAGGTTACAAGATCATTAACAATACTGAGGAGAGCGTGCTAAGAAACTGCAAGCAGGAATTCGATGCTTTGCTTCGCTCAAAGGTTGCTCCTTGAGATAAGAAAGGTAGTCTGGGCAATGGGTATGGCATTCCGAAGCATAAAGATGTTTCTAGATAGCATCCCATCTCCCCCTCATTCTCTGAACCTAGCGTAAGCTTAGGGCATGTAGAGCGATCTCCAAGGCCATCAACCACCTCCTTTGGAATTTGCCTGCTAACCTATGTATCCCCGGCGGCCGCGGTCGCCGTGGGCATGATCGCGGCCCGCGGTTGGAGCCGCGGGGCCGCGGTGCCGCGGTCATGACCGCCGCGGCCGCGACCGAAATCGGCTCACTGCGGGCGAGGGGAGGGGGGTCCTGCCAATAGGGGTCGGGATTCCGACGGCGCGACCAGGGCCCCACCCCCCACCATTGAAAAATGAGGGGGTCCATTTTAAGGGGGGGGGCGGGGAATACTTGACCCCCTTTTTTTTCCTTTTTTTTTTCCTTTTTTTTTTTCCGTTTGATTGCACGATTACGCAGTTTTTTGTTGTACTTTTTTTTTTTTTTTTT